ATGCAGCATATTTTAAGCAGCCGAGCAATGTATCTATGTAATTTCTTTTGGTCGTTGTTCATTTTTTTAAGTTTTAAGTTTTCTGTAGTAAATAGTTATTGTTGCACGCTTTTATTCTTTTGTTAGTTTTGATAAAATATCGATTTGCATACGTTTCCCGATAGCATGGAATTTGCATCCCCTGTTGTTTTGTTTATGTATTTTTGTTTTTTCTTTGTTTTTCTTGTTTTCTTTCTTTTTAAATTGTTGTGTTCATCTAAATACAGAGTTGTTGTTGTTGTTGCTGTTGTTGTGGCGCTGTGAGCAAATTAAAAGTTAGCTAGCATATATTTTGTTCATCTCGCAAGTAAATGAGAATAAAGCCAACTACTGAGAAATCAAAAAACAGAAGGAAAAAAAAAACGAATATCACAAACGAAAAGCTTTTGTCGATTCCAATGCATATTTATTTAAATAATACAAGTATATGAGAGAATTGTAATATTGATATAAAAACTGAGAGCTGACATTTATATAAGTATATGTACATAGTATATGTCTTTAGTTGTCTTATGATATACTATATATGAACAATTTAAATGGCAAAATAAATTGTGTAAAAAATATACATACGTAGAAAGAGGGGAGGAATTAGGTGTACATATGTATGCATTGTTGTGTGTGTGTTTGTGTGTGTGTGTGTGTTTGAGAGATAAAAAGGGATAGAAAACTAGATGAGGTCTGATAGATAATGACTAGATTTGTTGTAGTTGTTGTTGTAATTACCATTTTCTATCACTTTAGCGTTTTGGGATGGCCAAACGCGCCAACCCGAAGCGCTCGTTCGCGTGCGGTGGTTGTGTGGTGCTTGCAACGCGGCAACCACAAAATCCACGCTCAAGACGCTAAATTCGCACACGTTTACGCACGCGCACAAGCACAAGCACAGGCACGCACGCACGCTCGCGATAAGTATCCGATCGATAAATCGATAAGTGCGATAAATTCGTATTGTATGTATGTGTTACTGTTTGTTAAGTTTCTAGTTCGTTGTTGTTGCTATTGCTATTGGCAAGGCAAGGCAAGGGCCGTAGCTGTTGATTATCGATGATCGATGATCGATTATCGAGTTGATTATCGAATAATCGCTTATCGCTTATAGTTTGTAGGGCTTGTCGTTTTTAATTTATTACTTAACTTTCTCAGTCGCACGTGCTTGACATACAAGCTAAGGCCACGCGTTGCTCATTCTTGTATGAAGTGTTGCGATCTCTTTGTCTTTGATAGTTTTGCTTTTGCTTTTGCTTTTGATTTTAAATTTTTTGATATCTTCGCGAACAGAGAGCGTATTTTTTGTTCGTTCAGTTCGTATGTAAATAACATATGGTATATTTTTATATATACATAGACATTTAGTTATCGCTTAGTTATCACATGATTAATGGGTTGTTATTTTTTATTGTTGATGTTGTTTTTTTTTTTGTTGTTGATAGGTTTAACAGCCCTTGGCTCTTGCATTTGATTTGATTAATCATTTGGATATATGTATATATACGAGTATATGCGTCGACAACATTGCCCACAACAGCACCACTCAACTTGTTGTTGTGGCATCTCTGTGCTCCTCTTGTTCGGTTTGTGATATCGATTTCGGTTTTGATTTTGATTGAGATTGTGATTTTGGCTTTTGCTTTAGTTTAAGTTTATTGCCACCCGTTGTTGTTGTTGTTGTTGTTGTTGCTGCTGCCGCTGCTGCTGCCGTTACCGTTACTGCTGCAGTTGCCCTGCACTTATTAAATTGTTGCTGCTGCTGCTGTTGCAATTGTTGCTTTTTGTTTTGTTGTTGTATTTTATTATTAAAGACGTTCAATTCGCGCTTGCACTGCGCCACGTGACGTGATTGAGGAGTCGACCCATAAGAGTCAGCTGCTGCCAAGTTGGTTGCTGTGGTTGTGCGACTGCTGCCTAACAATACTTTTGCTGCTACTGTTGCTGTTACTGTTGCTGTTGCTGTTACTGGTGTTGCCTCCACTTTGCTCGCTGCTGTTGCTGTTGCTATTGGTGCCGATGTGGCTGCTGTCGTCGTCATCATAGGGGCAACTTCTCTCTGGCCACTTGCCAAGTTCAACGTCATTTCACAGCCGCTGCCATTGTAGTTGCTGTTTTGGGTGCTGCTGTTGTTGTTGCTATATCCGCTGTAGTCAACCTTCATTTGTAGGGAATTTGTTGCAGTTGAAGTTGTTGTTATTAATTTAATATATAGTATGTATATGCAGAGTAGTTGTGTTCTTTATATTGTTTGTTTGTTTGTTTGTTTGTTTGTTTTTATATACGAGTATATATATTTTGATTTTTTGTGCGCTTTTTAAAAGGGGGGCATTGGGCGGGCTGGTTTCTAGTACGTGGACAAGGGATTGTTGCTGTTGTTGCTGTTCGTTTTCTTGTTATTGTTGTCTAAATTCTTGCCGTTGTTGCTGCTGTTGTTAAAAAGTAACATGTTTGGGTGTTGTTGTATTTACTATACTATACTATATAGTATATATATATATATGTGTGTGTGTGTGTGTGTGTGTGTGTGTGTGTATTGAAGGTTTTCAGCGAGTTAAAAGCCTATACACTGATACATTTACAAATACCACCACACGGACACACAAATGCGAGTACGTACATATGCATAGTATATATATTATTTACACATACACACATACAATTAATAAGTATAATTTCTTGGAATTTAAGTCAAAGAGAAACGATAAAGGGAGACTAGAAACAAATGAATTAGATAGACAAGTAGAAGGCGTTTAACATTTAAGTTGCAAGCTCAACAACAAGCACATCAATTACACAGCCAATTGCAGCAAAATAATTCAAACATACAGACATACACTCACACATACATATTCGTTGTAATAACACTAAAGAGGTGTAGTATGAGAATATTTATAAACAAAAGCCGACCGTAGACAAACAAAAGACAGACATCACGATTACATATAATAAAGGAGGGGAAGGGCAAGTCCCTTTAGTTATTTGCGACCATTTTCGCAAGTTGTTCTGCCTATCCTGTTCAGTTGTGTTTAGTATTTTTGTATATATAGGCGCTCTGTATACATATGTATGTATGTATATGTATGTATATATTTACGCGTGTGTAGGATGAGGTGTGTTATTACCGAGTGTTATCGAGTTTAAAGCAAATCAGGCTGATGGCTGATAAAATGGTCAGAAGAGTATGGGCTGTTAAATGGATGGTTTGTGGGCGTGGTTATGGATAATAATGGTGAGTATATACATATATCAGTCGCATGTACATATGTATATATGCATATGGCATGGTTTGGTCACGTTCTGCACACTTCTGCATAGCCTGCTTTCAGGCGCTGGCTCGCGTTTATGCTCGATGATTTGTTTTGTATTTTTCTTTAATTAAATTCATTATTTTTTATTGCATTATGCTTCGATTTTACTGCTGTTTTCGCTTTCCGTAGTGTTGTTGTTGTTTCGCTGTTGTTAGCTCAGTTTTGGAGTTTTTTTGAATTTTATTTGAATTTCAAAAATCGATTTAGATGAAAAATAAAAAAAAAAATAAAAGCAATGCCCTCAGTTTCTACACAAAATGTTAATGCAATGAAAATCGCAGTCACAAAAAATTAGGAAGACGCGATGCCTAACTATACTCGTATATCCTGTGAAAATAAATTCAAAACCTGAAATGAAAATTCAAATAACAACTCGCCTGAAATGGGATTTTTTTTTAACTCAATTTTTGTTTGTCCTTTGAAATATTCTCCATTAGGAGATAACGTTTATTAGCTGCTTAGGTGGTGCTTAGCTGCCTCCGCCACTCTTTCAAGAGGAGTGAAACTTGTATCTTAAAAAAGTGATATCCCTGTTCAGCCTTTTAGGCCACTGATGGACAGCTTATCTGTATATGACTGTACAACACTATGAGCCTTTGTTGGTCAGGGACGACTCGCCCTTGAGCATTCGAGGAAAAGGTAAACAAGCATAGCCAATTTTTTTTTTTAAATTGCTTTTGGAATTATTATGTTCTTGTATTTTGTTATTTATTCATATTTTGTTATACAAGTATGTACAGCTGTTCGTGCTTGTTTTCGTATAATTATTGTTCTATTGTTTCTATTATTTATTTTCTATCATTCATATTGCTGCATAGCTTCGCTTTACTTTAGTTTTCAAATTATTAGTTTCGTGGCCATTTGTGTGATTCGACATTTTTTTATATTTGTACATATATTTTGTTTATTCGCCATATGGTTGTCGGACAGTTAGTCTGGTGCAAAGTTATTTTAATTGAAAATTCGACGTTACATGATTTCAAATAAAATCGTGCTCGACCTTCGTGTTATTGTTGCGCTCTCGCCCACCTCGTTATTATTTGTTTATGCGCGGCTCATTAGCAACATGGGATTTTTTTGGTTTGTTTTTTTCCATTTTAGTATTTATGCACAACGCACATGGATATATAATTAGGATTTGTCGAAATGTCGAATGTTATGTTTGTTTCATGTTAATTTTTAAATTTTTGTTGTTTATAATTAACCAGTTATATAAGTAGTATGTTTAGAGAATTATGCATGGTATACATGGTGAGAGAAATATATATATATATATATATATATATATATATATATATATATATATATATATATATATATATATATATATGTATATAGATATAGATATATATGTATATTGTTGTATTATTTATGTTAAAAATCGATGGCGTTTACAATGTTTGTTGTTGTTGTTTTTACGTTTACAAAATAACAGTAAGTAGTAGATATATATGAGTAGTTACATATTCAGATTCGCATTGATATTCAAATATTTTGATAATAGGTGGTAGTAGTTGTTTTTAGTTCAATTGTGGCATTTCAACCAATCAATCAATCAATCAATCGTACAGTAGGTATTAAATCAAGAACCAAAATTGGCGGAAAAAAGAACATATCATATGGATTAGTACAGTTGTTATAATGGAAACAGTTGACACTCACCGATGATCTACTCACTTGCATAAACGCATAGACACCACGTAAAAACTCCATATTTTGTTGCTCTTGGGAACCCTTGGTTGTGCGTTGCGCCCGACTGATATATTGCTTGACAGTGTCGGCAACAAGATGTGGCTTTAGCTTTCGCGATAGGACGCTGAAAATAAGAATGAGATAAGCATTGGCACAATATCTTGACTGGATAAACTACTATAATGAGAAAACCACAAATGAAAACAAAAGCAGATATTTCCGTATCGGGTGTTATATTGCATATACTTATATTGAATTGCTAAGTCCCCCCACACAACGATTTAAGCTTGACAGTCAAAACGTTTCTACTATGTAAGTAGACGTAGCAAATTTTGCACTTCTGAATCAAAAAAAAAAAAACATGTAATATAAGACATAAACTTTTTTTTAAATAATTTTTTAAATTAATTTGATTTACTTATTAAGAATATATATCTTCCTACGAAAAAGGCAAAACTATAGCTTCAGTTTTATTTTGAGCAAAAACAGACAAACTTAATGTATAATTATTATTTTATTAGTTGTATTTCAAAAATATCATCATGTTGTTATTTTTATAATAAACTTAAAATGATGAGCTCGGAATAGGAGCGTCTGCATACCAAGTTTGGTTTATGTTCGTACATAAACCGTTTCCGAAATCCAGGCGTTCATCTAGACAGACGGACATGTTTAGATCGAATTTTCTCGTCATTCTGATTCAGAATATACAAGTATATACTTTATGGGGTCGGAAATGCTTTCTTCTGCCTGTTTAACGTGTTTTAACGAACATATCTCCGCTATTGTTAATAAAGAGAATGGCTTTCTAGGCTTTGTGAAACAATGGGCGAAAGAATTTGAAGACCCTACACAACTCGAATTATGTATGAGACTTTTGTGCGACCTACCTTAGAATTTTTGTAATAGTTGCACTTTATCTATACTTTTTAAAGAATGTAATCTTGTCGTTTTTATTTCTCATTGTTTTTCTTTTTTTGTCCATCTTTTAAATTGAGCGCCCTTTGTCAGAAAGTAAATAAATAGTAATTAAATAGTAAATAAATAAATAATAATTAAGCAGTAAATAAATGTTAAATAAATAATAACTAAATGTTAAATAGTTATAAAATATTAAAAAATATATATTATTAAATAAATAGTAAATAAGTAGTAAACAAATAATAAGTGAATAGTAAATAGGTAGTAATTAAATAGGAGATTCAAATATGAATTCCAAGTGAACTTTGAAAAGAGAAAGTCGATGTACTTGTAGAACGTAGAATATGTATAATGTAGAATATATATCATATTCAAAAATAAAACCAGTTCAAGTTCCGAATTCAAGCGATAGAATCCTTTTTTGAAGGCCTTAGCAGCCACAGTTATACTTGTATGCCATCATCTGCTTATATACTATACTACGAGTATATGCCAAGCTCAGTCACAATGTTTCAGGATCTTGGGTGCTGAGGGCCCCAAATGCCAGCTGCCGCCATGCCATCTGCCGCCATGCCATCTGCCGCTGGTAGAGCCAACGACACTTATAGCCACTTTACACGCGCACACCCACACACTCACACACCCACACAAGCGCACACACAAGCACACTTATTCTCACACACATGCGCTGGTGCGGCGTCTAAATTTAAACAACCTCAGGACGCCAAATTGTCACTTGACGCTGCCTAAACGGAAACACTTTTGTGTACTTAGTTAATGCCGTTGGGCTAATTGCTCGCACTCATGGCTCATGGCAGGCGCTGAGTGTGTGTGTGTGTGGGGCAAGGGGGAAGGGGGGGTGAGGCTTTCGAGTGGCATTTTTGTTGCCGCCGCTTTGACGTGTATGTAGTTTTTCAAATTTTTACTGCACAAGTTCATGAAATATGCGCGAAGGCCACGCAATGGGCCATGCCAACAAAAAAACTTGCCTAATTGAAATGCCGCAGCCATCTTTGTGGCACTGCTGTGATGTGTGATGTGCGATGGCGCTGAAATTTTTGCCAACTGTGACAGCGAATTGACGCCGTAGATTACGCTTATCGTTTAATTGTGCTAAGCCAGTTGCAGGACTCTGCCCCAGCCGCACAGCAACCGGAAACCGGCAACCAGGAACGAGCAACAGTCAGCAACCAGCAACCAGCCAGCTCAGTGGCTCAGTGGTTCGCATGTGTGGCATAGGCATCAACTGACACACATCCCTAGTATATACAAGTATATATATATATAGTATATATAGTCATATACACACACGCGTAATCTTACGCACTCTACGCGCCTTATTTGAATTTTATTGCCTAAGCATTTAAGCTGTGACAAACCAGTTTGCCGACAGACGACAAACGACAGTCGACAGACGGCAAAGTTCATAGGTTGGGGACAGAGCAGCCAATTTGGCTTTTTTCCCGTCAAATCTGGTTGTTTTTGAAATCAAATTGCGGCAACAATTCGAAATTGCGAGAAGCATTTATCCGCTTTTTGCTATTTGGCCCACATTTATGTAGAACAAAGAGGAAACGTGGCACCTTTATCATTAGGTTAAACCAATATTTGCGAATGGCACCACTAGTTTAGACCATCTTTATCTCAAAAGTGCGCGTTACTTGTAAAGGTGCGAATGCATTCATATCGAAGGAATATAAGGAAAAATGCGGAGGTGTTTGAGCAACTTTTGCATTGCGCATACGACGACACAGAACAAAACGCTCACATACCATTTAAAATGTTCACCAAGATGATAAAAAATGAGCTTGGAAAATGCATTTACTGCAAAAAGAAATGCAGCTGTTTTACGCTTTTTTGTACAATTTTAAGCTTTATTTCACTCTTCTTCCCGCCAAAATCAGACGTTTTCCTTCTAAAATGTTGCCAAAACTGATTGGGGAACACAAAACAGAGCCAGTCGGTTCAATCTGTACAAAACATCCTAGTACAGATATAGACATCCATGTTTCGCTCCGACTTACATCCCTAATCTGTACCGAGCTCCTTTTCTTAAAAAAAGAAATGGAATGTGGAACCGTTAAGGTGTTAGAATTTTAAATCGATTCTGAATCAATCCTTTTTGCAGCTCTTCCTCATACAAAGATTGCGGCCATTTGGGGTTCGTTGAATTTAAATAAATTTTCGATTGTTTAAAAAATTAAAAAATTATTAAAATCGAAAATTCATCTCATATACAAATTCATCTCAAGTTTGTACATTTGTTTTACATTTTCTCTTAAGCCATTTTTTTAAAGTCAGATTCCAGCTTCATACCAGATGTTAAGCCACATCTACTGGCGGTACACAGCTTTAGCTAAATCCACGAAATCGTTAAATGTTTGTGCTCGTGTTGCGTCAACATTTCGCACAGTGGCACATGGGGACGCCCATTTGCATACACACCCCACCCCCACCCCCACCCTTCCATGCATACGAGTACCCGCACACTTGGACTCTATGCGGGGGTCAGGGAGTGTGGGTCTATCGGTGCGGCTGTTCCGGTAAACCCATTTTATTTGGTTAAGCAGCTTCCAGCCACTTCTATTGACTTAAACACCCCGCGAGATTTTCTGTGATCTTCTGTGGATTAGCAGTTTATTTAATCAAATTCTATGTGAGTGCGTCTTCTTCTTCATTTACATATATATATTTATCTGATTATAAAAAAAGATTGAAAAGTTGTAGTGAAGATGTGGGAAGAGCAAGGCGTCGTGCTGTACTCGGCAATTGGATGTAGATAGCTCTTTAACCTTGCCATTGCTAGACACCTATTTCGTGCAGAATTTTAAGTAATGTTTGAGGCATTTGATGCCAGACGGAGGAAACCAAATTTTAAATATTTATTTAATGTATGTGTGCATACCCATTGCAAGTCCTTTTAAGGCCAGGAAAGGGCTTTAATATATATATATTTTTTTCTCCCAAAGTGCAACTAAAAATGCATGGGTCTAGCACCAACAGGGAGGTGTTCCTCCTTCAATAAGAATCTCTGGAATTTAGGAGCTATTCATATTTTTCAAAGTTCCAAGCATAAAATGCATACGGTTTATAACTGGAATAATATATAATTCGTAGAATAATACTGTCGAATGAAAATACTTTTATATTTTGTGCCCGTTAAAAGCCCAGATATACTATTGTTTCGTTTTTTGTTCATGCTATAAAGCTCACCACCACAGAATAGTTAAAGGATTAAAGAAATGGTCCTTGATGAAACGCATATCTTCTGGAAAGTTGAAAAACGTGTTTGCAGAAAATGGAAACTTCAGGATATAATTGTAATAAAATTTAAAAACTGTTGTTGCTATTTAAGTGATGCATATGTGTTAATTCCCACAAGAGAACTGTGACGAGTAATAAGTACTTGTTCGTTCACACTCCTACAAGTATGTTGACTTGCACTCATTATGAAGGAATGAGCTCAAAGCGAACATTTACAAGAAATACTAAAATCACAATATTTTTGTAAAACAGTTATAACAAGCGGTCAGCAGATCAAAATCATCAATCGGCAAACGTAAATCATAAATCGCTACGATGCATGCATACATTTTTTTTTGTATTGTCAATTTAAAAGCGTGGAAAAAAAAGAAAAACCAATGAAAAATTACAAACTTCTTTATAAAGAGTAGAGTTTTTTAAGTGCAACCACTGAAAATAATCATGATAGTAATGTTCGCTCCTTGCGGAATGCACATGGACCAAGATAGCTTGCTATTCCTAAATTCAGTTTATAGGAATGGACATTTTTAAGCCAGAATGTAGCATGCATTATCTCTCTTTAAGGTATATATTTTATAATTTGCTCAGTGTAAACAATTTTTAATGAAATTAATAATGTTCCTTCAATTTCATAATTCTTTTTTTGTTTAGTGTATGAAATTTTGAAACGTTAACAGAAAATAATAAATGTGTTTGCTTTTGCTTCGGTACCCCTTTATTTTAAGATATTCAAAGGTCCTGCGTATGTAGCTTCGGAATTGTGCAGAGTATTGACAAAATTATTTCGCGGGGAAAGGCGAGAATCGGCCCAACCGCTTCGATGCATTCATACAGATGGACGGACATGGCTAGATCGGTTTGTCTCATCATGTCCATTAGGAATGTGCACAAATTGTGGGTCCCATAAATCCTGCAACACTTCGCTACTTTCAGCAAACC